TTGAATGTTTAGTATTACCATCGATCACGGAACGATTACCTCAAAGTAAAAGCAATATCACTCAACTTAATATGCCAAAAGATATAGATATGGCCGACCCAAGATTCGACGAGCCTGGCCCGATTGATATGCTTATCGGTGCCGGATTATATTGGAAAATTCTAGTCGGAACACCCAGAAACAAAATTGAAGGACAACCGTCACTGCAAAATACAAGATTAGGATGGATAATTGGAGGTGAAATACCCGGAGTGCAGCCGAAGACAAGCCAAGTAGCCCTAACGAACGAAGTACTAAGCCAGCAACTCGAAAGATTTTGGAGACAGGAAGAGCTTCCAGAAACCCCAGAGTATACGGATGAAGGAAAATATTGTGAGCAATATTTTTTAGACACAGTCAAACGAGATAAAAAAGGACAGTTTATAGTACGCTTACCTATAAGGAAACAAATACAGCTCGGAGATTCAAAAGAACAAGCTTTACGAAGACTACATTTACTGGAACGCAGATTCGAGAAAAATCCTAAGTTAAAAGAAGGAATATCATAAATTCATGGAAGACTATATCGAACAGAATCACATGTCTAAAATATACAAGGAAGAATTGAACTTAGAAAGTTATTTCCTGCCACATCAAGCAGTAATACGAGCAGATAACATAACTACTAAGTTGAGGGTTGTATTCGACGCCTCCGCTAAGACAACATTAGGAACTTCCTTGAACGATAAGCTTATTCCAGAGCCTAATTTACAAAAAATTATTTGACATTATTCTACGCTTCCGGACGTATGAATACGTAGTAACTGCGGATGTAACGATGATGTACCGTCAAATAATGGTGGACCCACTGGATCGAGCACTGCAGCGAATATTATGGAGAAAGAATCCAAAGGAACCGGTCACATTATTCGAACTTAACACGGTAACGTACAGAACAGCGTGCGCCCCTTACCTAGCGATTCGTTGCTTGAGGAAATTGGCGGAAGAAGAACGGGATTTATCTAAAGCAGCAAAGGTAGTAAACGAGGACTGCTACATGGATGATGTCTTAACGGGAACTTCAACAATACAAGAAGCTACAAGAATAACTCTACAGCGACAACTAACTGAATTATTCTCTCGAGGGCATTTTAGTCTGAGAAAATGGAGAGCAAACAATCCTCAAATTCTGCAACATCTTACCGAAAAGGGGAAAACAGATAGCTGGCTAATGTTAAACGAAGAAGGCGCTCAGAAAACGCTAGGACTACTATGGAACTCGGAGGAAGATGTTTTGCAATATGAAGTAAAGATCAAGCCAATAACTACTACTACGAAACGCAACGTACTGTCCAACGTTGCACAGGTGTTTGATCCGCTGGGGCTGCTAGCTCCGCTGTTAATGAATGGAAAGATAATCATGCGACAATTATGGACGCTCAAGATTGATTGGGACGAACCGCTTCCTCCAGACAAAGATGAGGCATGGCAATTCTATTACAACTCTCTTTCAAAATTAAACGAGCTTCGTATACCAAGAAACGCAGTATCTCACAACCGATCTAACCAATTCGATATTTTTGGGTTTGGAGACACTTCAGAGAAAGCCTACGGTGCCTGCCTGTACGCAGTGAGTACTAACAATCGAGGAGAGCTTCAATCTTACCTCTTATGCTCTAAATGCAAGGTAGCTCCGTTAAAAACCATCTCTGTTCCACGCTTAGAATTAGAAGCAGCACTTTTGCTGGCAAAATTATATAATGTAGTAAAGAAAGCTTATGGAGAACGCGTGAGACAAGAAAATTTGTGGAGTGATAGCACAATAGTACTAGGATGGATAGAAACACCACCCAATTTATTGAAGACATTTGTGGCCAACAGAATCTCGAAAATACAGCATTTAACTCCAAAGAATGCATGGCAACACGTAACTTCGAGAGATAATCCAGCAGATATGCTATCTCAAGGAATGACAATAGAACAATTAATCGACAAGTCTATGGTGGCATGGACCACCTTGGTTAGTAAGCGGAAATCAATGGCCAACCGGAATGGAGGAACCCGACAGTAATCTACCCGAAATGAAATCGAACACGATCATTTTGACATTAGCAACGGAAGCAAATATTCTAGAAAGGTTTTCAACATATCGCAGACTCGTTAGAGTCATAGCTTTCTGTCTACGATGGACAAGGAAGGAAGCAGGAACCATGAAAAATTATATTCTATCTGTAGAAGAATTGAAGAAAGCTGAACAGACAATAACTAGAATGGTACAAAGGGAAAGGTTCTCGTTAGAACTAGGCGATTTACTAAAAAATAGAGAAGTAAATATTAAAAGTAAATTACGCGCTTTGGATCCCTATCTGGATAAAGACGGATTGATTAGAGTAGGTGGGCGACTTAGGAACGCAATGATTTCTGAAGATCAAAAACACCCGATTGTGTTACCGCCTAAGCATACCGTAACTCGGCTTATATTAACAGGAGAACACATACGTCTACATCACTGCCCTCCAGAACAGCTGCTAAGCGCTGTTCGTCACAGATTCTGGCCTATAAACGGTCGAAGAGAAGCTAACAAGGTTGTAAAAGGATGCGTAAGATGTTTCGTTTTAAACCAAAATATTCTGATGTAAAAATGGGAGACTTACCGACGCAGAGAGTAAATAGTTTTACCAGACTGTTCGTTGTAACAGGAGTTGATTATGCTGGACCCTTGCAAATCCGAGAAAGTCGTCGGCGAGGGAAAATCCATGTGTCCAAAGGTTATATAGCAGTTTTTACCTGTTTCAACACTAAAGCTGTACATCTGGAATTGGTAACCGAACTTACTACCGAAGCATTCCTTGCAGCATTAAGCCGATTTACAGCAAGACGAGGATTGTGTTCACAGATATTTTCAGACAATGCAACAAATTTTATAGGAGCAGCTAGAGAATTGCAAGAGATATACGAGTTTCTGAAGAAAAATCATAACGAAATAACGACTCAGCTTGCTAATCAGCACATTCAGTGGAACTTTATACCACCTCGCGCGCCGAATTTTGGTGGATTATGGGAGGCTGCTGTAAAAGTAGCTAAGCGACATTTATATATCATGACGCGAGATTTAACACTCACATTCGAAGAATGTTACACTCTTTTAACAGAAATCGAAGCCATCATGAACTCTAGGCCTTTAACTGCGTTGTCCTCGGACCCTAATGATTTGTCTGTCCTCACCCCATCCCATTTCCTAATTGGCGACTCACTTGTTCAACCCGTTCAGCATAACCTTACAGAAACGCCAGACAACCGTCTGACGCGATGGCAACATTTTAAGAAAATTTGTCAGAATTTCTGGCGACGTTGGCACTCAGAATATCTGCATGAGCTGCAAGAGAAGAAAAAATGGACTGTCTCTGGAAAAAATATCGCTCTTGGTACGATAGTAATGCTGAAGGAAGACAATCTGCCACCGCTACAATGGGCTATTGGCAGAGTGATAGAGTTGCATCCTGGACCTGATGGAATCACACGGGTTGTCTCTGTAAGGACACAAGGAGGAGTCTTCAAAAGAGCAGTGCGAAACCTGTGTCCGATTCCAATGGACGACTGCGAAGAAGACTGATCATTGCTAGTATTAAGCTTTAAACTTAACGTCGTTAACAGTAGATAATCATTTGCTATTTGTTTCATTAATCCTTGTTTGAACAATCTGTGAAGTTTATTTGAGTTATTACTAATTTGTATTATTTACTAGTTTTAATTTAAACAATACATTTATATCTTTTATTTGAAAAATCCTTTCAAAGGTGGCGGAAAATGTTGAATATAGCTTATCGACAAGTAAAGTTCATAAATTAAAGTTTGGTAAGAAAGCCGCCAGCAGCGCGCTAGTCGCAAAGGAGGAAGGTTACTGGCAGATATGGCGACAGACATTGCACAGTTAACAATCATTTTTATTTGTGAAAATAAAGTGGTTTGTTAAACCTAACGCACTCAGTTTTATTTAATAACAACCGCTGTAGCTTCACCCTGGGCAAACGGGCAGGTAGAAAGGGTCAATAGATTCTTGAAATCCACATTGACTAAGTCAATAAATAATCCCAGAAATTGGAAAGATAATTTGGGCAAGATTCAATATATATTTAACAATACCTTGCACAAGTCAATTAAGTCAACGCCCAGTAAATTGTTGTTAGGATACGATCAAACGAATAAATCTGATAAACAATTTCGCCATATGCTCAATAAATTAAAAGAAATTGATACAAATTTAGAAGAGGAGCATGAGAAATCTCGAGACGTTGCTGTAATAGCCAACAAAGCGTTAAAAGAGTATAATAAGGGTCAATACGACAAGCGTCATAAACGTCCGAGTAAATACAAAGAAAGAGATTTAATTATGATAAAAATTACTCAGCATAAACCGGGAATCAACCAAAAGTTGTTACCAAAGTTTAAAGGACCGTATCAAATAAGGAAAGTGTTAAATAAAAATCGTTATGTTGTAACAGATGTACCTGGTTATAATATTGCACAAAAGCCTTTAAATACGATTCTATCCTCCAATAAAATTAAACCGTGGATACGTGTCTCACAGGCAACCAATACCAATACCAAGTCAGTGTCCATGTCAGGGTCAGAATCTGAATCAGATGCTTAACCAAGCTATTAATTTAAGTATGCGTACGTTTGTTTGAATTGCGTAAAATTTACTTATTAGATTTTAATTAGTTTCTTTAGTCTAGTTGTTAAGTTGCGTTATATATTGCGAATAAGTCTGCGTTATGGAAAAAAAAAAAAACTATTGTACATTCATGCGTCTAAATAAAATCTTTTGGCAACATGTGCCCTTGCGACAAGTTCGAGACGAACTTAATAGTCAGGAAGGCCAAAGCTGTAAGATTCCTAAGAATTATCAGAAAATTGCCGTCGATAATGCAGGGAAAACATTATCATGTATTTAGAGAAATTTCGGGTATATGATTATGTCAATAATAAAGGAGGTCGCTACTCGGCGAATATAAAAGTCGGTGCAAACGCTAAAGCGAGGAGAAGTACTCAAGTAGCTCCGAAAGTAAAAAAGAAGAAAAGAAGACAGTGTATAAGACGACTTGGCGAAAAAAAATACTCTATAAGAAAAAGGACTCAGAACATTGTTCGACTTATGGTGAGAACGTTGCCATTGTGCGAAGATCACGGAATTAATCGATAATTTCATTTCGGCTATCGGCTCATTATTTTATTGTTATTATTTCCTGTTCGTTCACTATTGTTAATTTTTGAACTTTTATTAAACATTAAATTGTATTCATCCTGATACCGGTGTGGCTTTATTTGAGAACCTTACATATAAAATATCTATTTATTTTGTCAAAACGATTAAGAAAATAATGCAAATATTTCTTATTTGATTTTAAATAGTAAATCATCTGAATAGGAATCTGAAAAAAATTTATAACAAAATTATTTGTATTATTCTAATAAAACAAGTTATAACAAATTTAACTACTATAATAGTTTTTTTGTATTATTATATATAACAGTTGTAATTTGAAATAATTTATAAGTATTGTTCTGTATTTCTGTGGACAGGTCTGTTGGGGAAAAATTTGATATTAGCAAATCCACCTTGTTCGCTTGCTTTGAGCGTGTAATTAGTGCTTTAAATAGTGTATCCTCTCAAGTTATTTGTTGGCCAAGGCAAAAAGAGCTTGAAACAATAAAAGAAAAATTTGAAGCAATGGTTGATATTGATGGTGTTGTTGCAGCAATTGATGGAACGTATGTGCCAATAAAAGCACCCTCGGAAAATCCAGACGTTTATATTACGCGTAAATGTCAATACGCCATAACATTACAAGCAATGTGTAATTCTGATATGAAATTTGTTGATTGCTTTGTAGGTTACCCCGGCTCTGTTCATGATGCTAGAATTTTTTGAAATTCTGATATATATCACTTAATATGTGAAAATGTTAAAAAATATTTTCCCGAGATTGAATTTATTTTAGCAGATAAAGCTTATTCGATTTCAAAGGTGTATTCCTCCATACATTGATCGAAAATATTTAACGAGAGCGCAACGTCATTTTAATGAGTCAGTGTCAAAAACTAGACAAACAATTGAAAGAGCATTTGCTTTATTGTTCGGAAGATTTCGACGACTAAAATATTTTGACATGAACAGAGTTGATATGATACCTGCAACAATTATAGCTTGCTGTGTATTGCATAATGTATGTATAGATAGTGGTGATGATTTTTTGAATAAATATATAAATGGAGGAATAAATGATGTGCAAAATGAAAGAGAAGAAATTACAGAAATAGAAGATAGAGAAATCGCTAACAGTCGACGCGATACTCTATGCAGAGAATTGTATCGAAATCTCGAGTAATATTATATATATATATATATACAGGGTGTTTCATTTTAATCTAGCCAGGCGAATATTTCAAACGCTGTTGAGTTTAAAGAAAAATGTTTAGACAAAAGTTGTAGGGTTTGGAGGGGGGCACAAGATGGGGAGCTTGAGTTTTTGATGAAGGTAAAATTGAAGGTCATATGAAGGTCAACTTTGTTTTTTAAATAAATGTAGTATTTTTATTGCATATTCTG